CGTAGTGGCGAAAACGAGATGGGGGTAAAAGTGACCTGGAGAGGGGGAGCTGCTACTGGAGATATGGAAAGGGGGAACCGGAAACGAAGGCCTTCATTGGCAGCTGAGTTTGAAAAGCTATGCTGGAATAGGGTAGCTAATTTGAGTCTACAGGTAAACAGGGACAACACTGAGGAAGTCGGCCTCACTAAGGGAGCAGGGATGGACTGGGGACCTTCAGGCCGCTGGCAGCTCTGCGGCGCCCTGCACAGCTGAGATCTCGCTGCCGCCCCGCCCACCCCACCGCGGTGCGGAGAGCAGAGCGGGGCGGAGCCAATCCGAAGCCGACCCGAGCGGGCGGCCAACTCGGCGCAGGCTCCCGAGCGACGCAGCGTCACGCAGTCGTTTCCATCCCCGGCTGCACTCACCATCACGTCCTCCCGGAGGTCCTAGGGATGCCCCCCTCCCGGTGCCCGGTTCCCTGCAGGGCACAGCAGGACCCGGACGGAAGCACAGAGCAGGAATGACAACTACCGAGACAGACCGACCACTCGAGCCTCCCGAGTGAGTCTCAGTCTCTTCGGTGGCTTTGCGTGGCGGTGTCCCACCCCGGCTAGCGGCGCGTCTCATTGGACAGTTACTGCAGTCCCGCCCCTTCGCCCGGAGCCGCCAAGCGGGGAAAACTGAGGATAAATTTGCTCAAGCTGCAACTAAGAACAACGGTTCTCAACCCGTGGATCGCAACCCCTTTGGGAGGGCGGGGGCGATGTCGAAAGACCCTGTTAAAAGGGTCGTTTTAAGAACATCACAAGGCACAGGTTTTTGTTTTGTTTTCTTGAAGACAAGGTTTCTCTGTGTGACCCTAGCTATCCTAGAACTCACTCTGTAGTAGAGGCTGGCTTCTAACAAAAGCTCCGCCTGCCTCTGCTGGGATTAAAGGAGTGTTCCACTGTCACCAAGTACAATTCATAATACTAACAAAGTCATAGTTATGAAGTAGCTACACAAATAATTTTATGGTTGGGGGTTACCATAACACAAGGAATTGTATTTAAGGGTTGCAGCATTAGGAAGGTTGAGAACCACTGCTCTGGAAACTCAAGCTGATTGGGGTAACTAAGGAGAAACATAAAGACTGTTTTTTGTTTTTGTTTTTTTTTTCTGTTTTGGAGATAGCGTCTCATCTAGCCCAGACTGACCTCAAATTAAGTTGTGAGGCTGAGGATGAACTTGAACTCCTGCTGCTTCTGTTTCTTGAATGCTGGGATTACAGGTGTATGCTATTGTACGCAGCTGATTTTTTTTTTTTTTTACGTTGTCTTGGGGATGCTACCGCGGGCATTCGCCTAGGAGCCAAACACTCTACCCAAAAGGCTAAACCTCTAGTTCCCTCTCCGTTTGTCTCTCCTTTTTTTTTTTTTTTTTTTTGGTAAAAGGACCGGTTCTATATAGCCTATCATTGGCTTCCAACTCCCCGAGTACTAGCTTTCATTCATGGGCCACCAGGACACCCTTCCAGGTCACTAAGGGGTGTGGTCCCATTAGATTTGCGGTAGATAGGTCATGATATTAATAGATCAACTGTGTTGTTTTTCAGAAACTCTGAGCTTGTTTTTGCCCATCTCAAACTAGCTAAAAATTTTAGATCAGGATCGATGGAGAGGACATGAAAGTGAGAGGCCAACCTCCACAGAAGTAAGTTGTCCCTTAGCCAGGACAATGAAGGGCAACAGTGGGAGCTGGGGGCTTTTATAGGACAGCAAAGGGAAGTTTTGGGGTGGACGATCCCATCTGCAGATCTGGTTCCTTGCAGTCTCAACGTTGTAAATACAGAGGAATGCTGATATTCCCAGCTCCTGTGTGTAAATGTTATCAGCATGTCAATTTTCCTGTCTCAAGTTTCTCAGCTCTCCTGAGGCCTTCAGGTCAATAACTCTTCAGAAAACACCCATTTTTCATTCCTAAGGGCCTCCAAAAATGTCTGATGGAAACTGGAGATGAAGCTCAGTTAACAGGTTCCTTCCTTGCCTAGAATTCAAACATCCCTGGGTTCAGTCCCCAGCAGTGTTATTAAAAAAAATAAATAAAAAGGCCCAATGTGGTGGTGCATTCCTTTAATCCCTGCCTTCCAGAGACAGAGGCAGGTAGATCTCTGAGTTTGAGGCAAGACTGGTTTATGTATCAAGCTCCAGGCCAGCCAGGGCTGCACAGTCTATGTTTCAAATAAATAAAATAATTTTAAATTATTGCTGGAGGAGAAATGTGCACCATGGCATGGCGTGACATACTTTTTTTAAAAATGTATTTGGGCGTTCTGCCTGCATGTATACTGTGTACTGCATGCATGCCTGTGGAG